AACTGAGAACTTCATGCTAAAAACGAAACGATTTGATGAATAAATCAAAAAAAGAAGAATCTGAATTTCCAAATGAATTGAGATCTTTAAAATGCTGTAGAATTGTTTTTGAGTGTTACGAGTATGAAGGCAATATATTACACGAATACAAAAGCACTGCAAGTTAAAAAACGTCCACAAAATACTGTTGTTATGTAATTTTTAAATTTGCGACTTAAAAAGTGTCAGCTGTTATTGTCGTTTTTAGCTAAAAATTTTCAAAATCCGGCTAAGTGGAATTTTCTATTCCAAATGATCTGAGTTTTTATGTTACGGACAGCGATGACGGGAAGATAAGTACTTTGACATGCATTATCGAAGGTACGTAAAGTACCACTGGCAATACCATGCAGGTAAATGGGATGTGTAAAATGAAGTTATTTATATCATAAATTATAAGATAGATTTTTTGCGGGATAAACGTTCAAAACAGGTATTTACGGTAAATTGGACTTCGTGGACGATGGTAAATTAAAGCTATTCCTGGCAATGAATTCAAAAACACTTAAGAACTTAGATTAGTAATGTTCATACCACAATGCGCTAATGATATAAAACCTAAGCAACCAAGATACAAATACAGCTATGACAATTAGGAATAATATGGAATACCTGATATCAAAACATTAATAGATATGAATCCTCGGCGTTTATCGAGTAGAATCACGTTGATTACTTCAAAGATTTCAAACAACGATTTTATCACAAACCCTAAAACAACCTCAGGGCTGGTCAAAGTCAGGGCACGTCAGGGGCTCTCTGTTTGAATACGAAGTCAATTTAGCGTGTTATTTTTTTTGCAGAGGGAAAAAAGCAAGAGAACAAGTAGAAAACCTTCGAATACGAAGACCCAGGAATATATACTCACTTGTGTCGAGTCTAGGAGCTGAGAAGATTTCGCGAATAAAGATATAGCATCTTTTGATATCATCTTCTGCGTGCGTTTGCTTTCGCTCTTAGTAGTCTAATGGTGATTGTCATATCCCGCGGCGATAGGCGTACCTATGTTGTAGCTCCTGATTCGTCTTTTCTTTAAGATTATCGCAAGCATAGATATTGAAATGAATATTATTTTCAAAATGCTGATATTTGGAGTTGTGCTTTAAGAAAAATAATAGAGGCCGTCAACAAGTTTTTGTCACGTGGTTGGACGTTGGCGGGAAAATTGCTGAAAAAAATATCTGACCATGAACTAAAATTGATTATGTACCGGGGAAAAGAGTTGATAATGGGAGCAAATTAAAAAAGGGTTTACGAGAAACAAAAATTGAACTTCCAAAATTACGGAAGCGGTCTTGAGGTATTTTTGAATGAATTTGAACACATAATTTGGAGAATACATACCTTGAAGATATGATTTCGCAAAAATATAAATATATATAAATCAATAAAATAAATATGAATATATATAAATATAAATAAAAAATATATATATAAAGATACGAGTTTGTTTGCTCGAAAACTACAGATTTTTCCCCCAGAAAACATAAAAAAGATTGTAGCAAAATGAATAATTTAGATTATTAAATTTAAAGCCTGGAGTCTAAAAAAACAGCAAAAAACAAGAAGCAATAACGACAACAACAACTACAACAACAAAAATTAAACAAAACAAAATAGGGGAAATAAAAGTAAGCAAAAAAGCAAAAATTATTAAACTATAACAACATGATCAAAAGACAACCACTACGAAAAACAACGAAACAAGCCCCAAAAACTAAAAAACACAAAAAACAACAAACAAAGCTATAAAACAACAACGACACCGAAAAAGACAATAAAGGAACCAATGATACAACAACAACGATATATAATTCACCATCGTTTTAATTGAAGCCCGTTTCCTTCTTATTTCCGGCGTAGTAGGATTAATGACATTTGATTCAAGTGCATGCATCAAGCGACTTACGAATTTCGACCATTACTCAAAATGTGGGTAATAAAAAGGTACTTTGCACTTAAATAGAAACCATCCAAATCTTGTAAAAGTAGTTTGAAAATCTTACTGAGACTGCTTGAGAGAAGTTCTAAGTGTGTGTAAATCAATCAACCTTTCATTCGTTGCAGCAGATCGGCCTACACATAACTAAAACAAAAAAGGGGGAAAAAGGATGCCGTGAATCTTTCTGAGACTTATTGAGAGAGTTTTTAAGTGTGTGTGGGCCGATCTGTACTGAATGAAATGTTGATTGACCTTTGGAAGTAACATCATTCAAATTAACTTTAAAATGATATTAAAAAAAAAAAAAAAAAAAAAAGGATTAATTTTTGTTTGGGGAAGGGAGGGGAAACTGAGGGCAGGGAAAAATCGGGGGGGGGGGGGGGGGGGGGGGGGGGGGGGGGGGGGGGGTTTGAGAAGGGACGAAATCTTCGCTGCCAAACGATTTCCTTTTTCCAAACAAGAAAAACTAGTTATGATTACCATATCCACTGGTTTACTTATATAATCATTAAGCGTTATGAAAATGACAGACTTTTGAACCCATCGCATCGGCTTATCATTGTGAATCAAGGGAAAAGAACTCCAATGTAATTAATAGAATGGAAGGGAACCTATATAGGGGGATTATAAGAACTTTCCATAATGATTCATTGCAGTCAATTTTCACGAAAACGCATTTCCATCACATCAGAGAATCACTTGAGAGTCAAGTGAAGAGAACTCAAATGTCAAAGAAAGGAAGGATATCCGATGTTTTAATTAAATGAGGGAGATTGAGAGCTTTGCAAAATAATGTTCTTCATAATTATCGATAATTTAAACTGAATCTACTTTAATCCTAAGATTTTAAACGTGCAGTAAGTTGAGGTGTCGAGCAGTATTCCCGAATAATGACGAGAAAATAAGTGAGAACGGCAAATCAGTTGCAAAGGAAAGCCGCGAGGTTGGTGTTTTTGCCAAGCCATACCCCACTCACTGAGTAGGGAGAGGATCGCGGGCCATTGAAACTACAACGACAAATCGACGAGCACCTAAGGACAGCTGTGATATAATGACTGTGTGAGACGATGAACAAATAGCAAGCCAGTAAAAAGTATACATTATTCCCACGCAAGGAACAGGGGTTTAACGAGTAAATTCAAATCTATTAGTTTTGCTTTTACTATCGTTTCATTCTATACACTTTCGCTTAGCTTTCGCTTAACTTCGTAGTGGCGTTCACGATGTCATATCGGTGCCATCTTAGAAGTTTGGATTGAAGGACGTTTTGGGTATTCCCACGCTCCACTTGCTTTCCCTAGTGTTACATACTCATTTCTTGCCGTGGAGAGAAAGTAATTATGAGAAAGATTTAAAGGAGGAGAGGAGAGGAGAGGAGAGGAGAGGAGAGGAGAGGAGAGGAGAGGAAAGGAAACAAACAAAAACAAAAAAAAAAAACAAAAAAAACAAAAGGAAAGATAAGGTAAGGAAAGGAAAGGAAAGGAAAGGAAAGGAAAAATAGGTCAAATATTTTTTTCTTGTTTTAAGATTTTTATATCACGTAGCAGTGTTTACTCTTGATATCTTAACGAATCTTAACAGACTTCCAGAAGTAATTGTTCGAATACAAAGCCTTTTTTCAAATCATTCTTTTTTATCTTCGCTCCTGTCGGTCATTGGAACCAGGATACCGTTCACAGAAGTATTAAATGCCTTCCCATAAAAAAAAACCACGAAATCCGTATTTTCAGTCTAGTCTTCAATATCCTCGCGCTTGTCGGCTAATTTGATTTTCGAGAGGAAGCAAATTAAGGATCAAAAAAAAAAAAAAAAAAAAAAAAAAAAAAA